AAAATTTCACCAAAACAGGTACAGGTACACTTTAATTTTGACAAATTGGCATTTTATAAAGGAGATTCTTTTCTCAGTGGTGCCGTAGTGTGCCCTAGCTGAGCCCGAAGGCTGGAGCAGCCGTAGGACTCTATGGCCCCATTACATGAGAGGAGATTATACTTAGAGGATCCTAGTGTTCATCCATTTTTATAAGTTTCCAGGAACTGCCCCTTAGTCAAAAGCATTAATGTCCCGATTAAGCCTCCAAAATATCGTTAAGGAAATAAACCATTACAATAAAAAAAAAACCTACTGAAATAAAGATACAGCTGCCCAAAATACTTAACTTGTAAACTCATCCTATGTGTTTGCAGAATTAGAGACAGTTTGATTTCTGTTAAAGGGTTTTTTAGATTGAGAAAGCAGTATTTAAACTTTGAGAATATAGAATATGTAAGGTTTTACCCTGAGCTCTTCTTTTGCCTGTGCAATACGGAGTATTTGTTTCTTAAAACAAAGCTAATGCTGGTATTTATCCTCACAATGAATAATGACATCTGGCTCTGAAATAGATGTTTCAGTCTGGATAAATATAAATGATTTTGAAAATGTGTATTTTATAGGTACTGTAATAAGATGCCAGGTCTCCTAGAAAAATGTTAATATACTGTCAGCAGCTACATGCTTCCTTAAGATTTGTTTCCTTTAGATGTGTTTTAAAAATTAAAACACCTTTCTTTCCATGAGCTTTCATACTGTGCTTACATATTCCAGGTCTGTTTTTTTAAAACACATCACATTGCAGCAGTATAGATACCTATTGCAGGCAAAACAGAGCAGAGCTTCTGTTTGCATTTCCATGCTTTTTGTTCTTCTTTGTCATCTGTTTGTTTCTTTGTTTTTGTCTGGAAGCCAGATCCTTAGGGAATAAATTTATAACACCATACACTGGACTTAGCAAAAAACTTGGTTAAAAGTAAATCTTTCTATTGTGCACTCATCCTTTTAATATTTTGTTACTGTATTTGTAAAAATATTGCTGTATTTTACAGTAAGAGTTCAGACATGTCATGTCTATGTGGTACTATTACTTTATCCAATTATTGTTGTATTCTGTAGTATTTTTACGTGAGTATTTTGACACTGTTTGCATATTATACACACTATTAAAATATATGTGTTTGTATAAGTTCTCCAGAGTAAGAGAGATTCAGAAAGTTATAATATATAACTTAAAAAGTGTATCTAGAGAGCAGATTCAGTCATTACATGTGGGAAT